CTTAATTTTCTAATTTTTAACGATACAATAGCGACGATTATTATTTTAAAAAATTTTTGTTAGGCTTAACATCGATGAAAATTCAACGCAAAATAGGTTAATAGCGATATACTAATATACTAATTACATGGGATATAATAATATACTACACTAATAATGGATTTTTTCATACTTTTCGGTTATCCGACCAACCCCAGTCCCCAATTGAGTCAGATAATCGAGGCTCTACTGTATTAAAATTTTCTTAAGTGATACATATTAATATAAATTAAACAATGTTTTCTTCATCATCACTAAAAGCACTATTAACGGAGAGCTTTTTCTTTTTGGCAAGTTATCCTTATCTGCTGAGCATTTTTCTGCATTATCTTCAGATCCATGCTTTACCTTTTGCAAAATGTATGTAATTTTAGATTGCTTGCTTCTAGTTAAAAGATCTTCATAAATTTCCTTATATGGTGCTAAGCACTTATGAAAAATAAAACAAGTATGGAATAAGGGAAAAACATCTGGCAACATCAGAAGCAGAAGCGTCGAGATCTGGCAACATTGAAACAAGTTTTGAGAAGGACCATATGTACTGACAGAAGGTGAGAAAAAATTAACATACTTAAGTAATAATACTTAAGTATGTAAAAATTTATTACATTTCATGTTGTACGAGGATTTTACCCAATTCTTGAACCATGTCAGAGTGAATCCGTGCTATAACAGTACTGTGTTATACGGGGATGGTACCAATTCTCAAACCGTGTTAAAGTGAATCCGTGCTATAGAAATGCCGTGTTATACAGGGGTTACCTGTATTGCTAAATAAATTAATGCTAACGGGTGTTCATGAACAGATACTAAAAAAGTTAGTACTATATTTTTGTGTGTATAATCCATTGAAAATTGTTATAACAAAAATAAAACCTAAGTGTAATCCATTCCACTATATATACCACATCTATGAGAGCAGCCATTGCTCCTTAGTCACAAATTCATAACTGCAATTTAAAATTGCTTTATAATCCACTCACCACACTATCTTACAAATACAGATATTCTGCAAATTGATGAAAATATAATAACTGTTTACTATTCATCAGGAGAAGATTAGAAAGCAATTATTTATACTGCTTATTGAAAACATTAAATGTTTCAATAAACAGAATTATAAATTTGAAAGATAAAATATTTTTTGCTTGCATAATCAAATATCAAAACAAATGTGAGAGTAAATAAATAGAAGCACTTTTTTCATTCTAAATTCAAACAATATATTTATACAGTTTTGGTTAATTAACCAAATTTCTTGTATTATTTTTAATCATTATATTAACAAAAAAAAATCTAAAAATTCTTCAAAATTTTATCTTTCAATGCTTGCCATTTATGAATATAACAGTGGGAAAATATTTATGCATAAAGGAATCAATGCATAAATTGTATAAAAATTATAAACATTATTTAGAAACATTGATAAACATATGTCATTAATAATTCAAAATATTTTACATACTACATTGATTTCCCTCAATTACACTTCCAGGTTCACATACAAATTTTGGATTGCTTCTTTTAAATCTTAGATGTTCAATCTTAACACGTCTGCTACCGAGCGAGAGATCAAGTTCTCCTTTTTGTGCTGCCGTTTTTAAAATGTTCATTGCCGTTTCCATTCGATCTAATAATTCTTGCTGAAGATTTGTTTCTAGTTGTTCATCTAAACTGTTTCTGTTTCCTGAAGATTACATAACCATATTTAACTATTAAACATAAAATATATATAAAATAACTTGAAAGTAACTTCTACCTGCCAATTCAAATTCAACTTCAATAACATTATCCTCATTTTGCAAATATCTTTGACTAGAACCATTGAATTTTTGTTTTAGGTCCAAAACTGCATGATGAGAAGAATAACTTTTAAACTCTGCAACTATTGTATAATTTCACTTTTTAACTTTATTAAAATCATAATAATTACTTTTTAAAAGATGAATGAATAATAAAAAGATTATTTCTTACATTACCATTTTTTGATGTATTAACTGATTCCAATAAATATGACTCAATGCCAACTTTACTATGATCTGCAATTGTTTTTAAATCTATACTTCTACGTTTTTTTTGGGAAATTATGTTATTTTCTTCTTCAGTTTCTATAAAATTAAATTTTTAAATATTATAATACAAATATAACTAGGGTAATATAATTAATATAATTTTAAAATTATTATTTTAATAATTTTCTATAATAGAAGTACAGACAGAGGAGTGTATCTGTGAACAAATATTGCATAGGACTGTAAAATTTCTTAAGCATATAAGATGATAATATTTGAATAGGGAATATTCACAAACCATATAGTCCACTTGGTGGTAGGAGGTAAGTTATTGGCTACCATGGACCACTGAAATGAGAGAGTGGAGTCTCCCTCAGTCTGGTCACATAATCTAACCTCTTAAAAAATTGTTCTAGGTTGCAATATAGCTTATTATCTGTTGAAAGTGTGTTATAGACAAAGTAATGCATGTAGAGATCTCAGTATTAGGGTAAATATCAGCAGAAGCAACATTAAGCAGAAGGACAATAAATCAGCAATTCTCTTAGTGCCCGTAGGGTAGAAAAAGTAGGAATAAAAACTGCATTCCCTTCAAATTAAATTTATTTATTTGAAGGAGATGTAGTTTTTTATTCCTACATTTTCCATCCTATGGGCACTAAACAACCTTCAAGTCATATGCACAAAAATACAGTAATTATCATGATTCATAAAAAATTGAACTAAATATATCTACTTTAAACTTTTATTTTAGATTTACAAAACAAATCAAATTTTCTGTATACATTTTGTGGAAAATCATAAACAACAACCTGTAGGCACCAAGAAGATCCATGAACACCATCTCACTAGTAAAAATATCATTTGAAGTTTTTTGCTATTGATAATTATTGGCATTTCATTGGATATCAAATGATATGAATTGATATTAAATGATAACAAATGGCATGTCCTCTGCAATCATTTACTTTGTAGAAGAGAATGTTAAATAGTATTTCTGAAATGATATAAATTGTTATAAAATGATCTTGAAATTTTTTTTATTTTTAAATTCTGAGTACTTGATGTCGACTGATATCATTTGATAAATGGCAAAACATACGGTAGACTGTTACTTATTCAAACTAATGAGAGTAGGAGTGATCAGGATATTATAAAAATCTGGATGAGGGAATGAGAATTTTTAAATAAGATTGTAGCATATGGGCCTACTGTACATATAAAAAAATATTTATTTTGACAATTACAATTAATTTTGAAATTATTGTTTTAAAGTTGTTTGTTTTGTTCTCAACATAAATGATTTGAAAACATTTGTTACTTTTACTAGTGGTGTGACACATCCTTTCTATTTGTTGTTTTTTCACAAAAATGTTTTTGTAATATTTGGATTACTTTGATGTTTGGGTTTTATTTGATTAAGACAACATGACACATGGGCAATTTGCCAAAGGGGAATGCCTCCCAGGAGGTGTTTTATGGGAAATTGGCCCCTATTTAGGCATTACCAATGTAAAGAAAACCCGAAAAGCACCACATGGCCAGCCTGTTGATGAGGTTGCAGACCCACAACCAACAGTATTCAGTGTTTTATCCACTTAGTCACTGGTAGGCTCGGATTACTTTGAATTATTTCAGGTTTGGCCAGGCATGAAATGGGACAGGTAAGCGATGAAAGATAAGATGCTTATTTAGGGTAGACTAACTATGAAAATTTTTAAGGACCAACTGGGCTCAAATCAAGGCCCTTCAGAATAGCAAGCTGATGTTTCATCTGCCTTGCTCATCTGGTAATTCTATCATAGTTTAATATAATCAAAAATAATTCAACAGCTAATTAAGAAATATTAAATATATATTAAAAAATATACTATTTGTAAATATTTAATCAACTAATGATAATTTTATTATAAACTTAAATTATATATTATCCAAAGCATTTATCAAGATATTGATAATTTTTACCTGTATTTAATACTAATTTAATACTGTATCTAAAAAAAAATTAAATTATAAAAAAGTAATAAAACTAATTTATATTACTTTGCTTTCTAAGATTTACATGAATTGATCTGAAACCAAAAATGGAGGAGGAAGAGGAGGAGGAATGTAGCAAATATTTAACAAAGGAAATAATTATGTTTTTTATTCATTCTATCATTTCTAATCACTGATTTTTCCTGGAGGGCTTTCACTTTTGTATTTTTATCATTTTGTTTCCAATTCTTGCATTCTTGCATCCAAGGGGACCCAATTCTTGTATTCTGTGACTGTAACATAATAATCTTAATCTTAGTTATTGTTACTTTTGCCCGAGCAATGCCGGGCCTACCTGCTAGTTTTAAATAATTTAGCTCCTGTTATCCAACTTTACGTGTAATAATTTTTTATTTTGAAGTAAAATTAAATTTAAAAAATTGAAAAATAAGCTATAATATATATATATAAAGTTCATTTACAATACACAGAAAACATTTTAGGAAATTTCCTTGCTTTAGTGATGAAAAATTCTTTCGAATATCATCAGTAACATGCATACTCCAGTTTGAATATTAAAGATGTAATAATTAAACCATTGTATCTACAGTATCAACATCTGCAATATAATACCTGAAGAGATGTGAATATACTTTTGCTCGGCAAAAGTAACGATAACTAAGATTAAGATTATTACATTACAGTCAACCTTACCCGTTTTCACAGAATGCAAGAATTGGTGTGAATATTTGATATACAGAATGCAAGAATTGGTGTGAATATACAGAATGCAAGAATTTGTGTGAATTTGATATACAGAATGCACGAATTGATGTGAATATTTGATATACAGAATGCAAGAATTGGTGTGAATATACTTTTGCTCGGGCAAAAGTAACGNACAGAATGCAAGAATTTGTGTGAATTTGATATACAGAATGCACGAATTGATGTGAATATTTGATATACAGAATGCAAGAATTGGTGTGAATATACTTTTGCTCGGGCAAAAGTAACGATAACTAAGATTAAGATTATTACATTACAGTCAACCTTACCCATTTTCATATAATGCAAGAATTGGGTCCCCTTGTTTTCAGACTAATTAGAGAATTTTTAGATGGGTCTAAAAATATGTTCGATTTCCCGCAAAAATGAAAAAAACTGCACCTGTGTCTTGCAAATCGTCTTCTCTTAACAATTCCATTGTTATGCAACCCTTCCATTGTTGATGGAAGTGTTAAGCCCTAATCCTGTTCTTCTCCCCCGTGGGGAGGAATTTCGAAAAATCCTTTCTTAGTGTGTGTTCTCGTAACATACCCTAACTGTGTACCAAATTTCAATTTTCAACTCCTAACCGTTTGGGCTCTGTATTATTATTATCATTATCAACCTCTCTCAATTATATATTAGATTGATAATTTGGATATATATGACACATGCATAAAAAAACACTAAACAAGTATGTGTATTATAATGAAAGTGTTAGGCACAAAAGAAGTTAATCTCATCAAGTTAACATTATGTTAAAAATTTTAAATTTATAATGTTGGTTGTGTGTTAGATTTGCTAATTTATTTGAATTCTTTTTTTTCCTAACTGAAGAAGACCTAGGAATAAGTTGAAAATGTTTTTAATATATTAAACTCATTGCTGGATATCAATAAGGTGTTTATAGTATCTCACAACTAGCTGGTCCATGATCATTTCAAATATGTAATTACAATAGAAAGTGTGAAGTCATATGAATTCTGTCACAGTCAGATATTGAAACAAATGGGTTAAATTTTGAATTTGAGATTGAAAGAATCATGAATGGATGGTGTGTGTGTGTGTGGAANCCTGATTTCTAATTAGAGTTTTGAGTTAACAAGTTTAATATCTGATTTTCTCAAATTTTTCTGTGGCATAAATTTTTCCATTATTAAGCCTTTTCTCGAGAATCTGTTCACTTAATGATTAAAAAATTGTACACAGTTTATGTCATTTTTGAGGGCATTTTCAAGATGCCCCTTGGGTCCAAAAATATCTATAAGCTAAAATATAACTTGAGATCATTGACATTGAAGCATAAAGGGCAAAACAAGACTAATTAAATGTAATTCATACAATATTTAATTTAAAATTTAAATGTAATATTCCTGTTATCAAAAAGATAACAGGAATATTTTATCTTGCATGTGACTTATGTCATATTATTCCTTTTAACGTATGTTTCCTTTAATCATTTTTAAGTAAATAATTAGCAGATTCTTTTGGCATTTCGGTTCTAAGCTATAAAAATTGGCATTTTATTGCATTGGCCTCATGGGTCTAACAGTAAAATGCGAATTTGTTAATTTAATGGCATTTATATACAGTTTATGAAACTTCAAGATTTTATTAATATATATTTAAAATAAAATCTTTTCTTGAACAAACATGATATTACCTTGTTAGAGATTTGATGTTGAAGATGTGATTTCACTTGACTAACAAAAAATGAATTCTTGCAATCAAATCCATCTGCTATCACAGATACTACACCAGTTTGATATAATGAATTGGAGAGCTCAACCACTGTATAAAATATATTTATAAATATAAAATATTAAGTTCAAATTAAATAAATTGTATATTTAATTTTTAATATTGGTAATCACAAATCTTCTATTCTGAATACCGGTATTTTGAACAATCTCATACTCATTTAACCTTTATTGTCTGGTACTGCTTAACCATTTGTAAAACAAATGTTTTCAGTATCAGTCGAGGTCTGCTTCAGGTTAATCTGGTGTTGGATAGTTCTGTGTGAATATCCCGGTCGGTGGCATAGGTGGATAGGGCGGTGGTGTAATGAGCATGGTATATGTCATATTTGTGCTCCCTAATCCTCTGTTGGATGGAACACTTCATGGAGCCAATATACACCATTTCTCGCCTAAATCTATCATCCCTCATAGAAATACTATATACCCCCGGAGCCCTAAGATCATTCTGTTTATCTTTTGCATTACACAATAATTGATATATATTGGGGGATCTTCAGTACATTACACTGGTGTTCGTTTTGGTTGCAATTTCTTTATATAAAGCTTGAAATCATTGGTTGTATTCAACGATGGTGCATCTGCTGGTTGGGTCCTGACTAGCCTTTTGAGTAATGGATGCATCCTGTGTATCAAGTCTTAGGAAATAGGCACGTGCTAGCCCTCATATTAGTTCTTTTTTGTATCCATGTGCCACTGTGATGCGTTCTATATTTTGTAGTTCAATTATCGTGTCACTCCACTTAGAAGGGTGCGTATATGCTCTTCTAACTAACGCCCAGAATGCTGTGACCTTTTAAGTGTATGGGTCAGCTGAGTTTGCCGGTATAAACCATGGGATGTAGCTAGGTTTATAATATATACTCATTTCAACCACTCCACCACTGAGCTTGATGTTAATGTCCAAGAAAGTGCAGTGGTGGTAGTCAATTGATTCAGTTTCAGGGTCAGCCCATACGGATTGTTGTTCATGTGATTCAAAAAAATCATTGATGTTCGGTTTCGTTTTCCACAGGATAAAGACATCGCCCACATATCTCTTATAAATAATTATATTAGATCTATACTTTGGTATGACAGTTTCTTCTAATCTACGTAATACCATCTCATATAAGTCGCCAGACAGCAGGCTGCCCATGGGTCCCCACATTTTTGTAGATTGGTCCTGTTGTTAAACTGGAATATAAAGTTGTAACACATGAGATGCGCTGGTTCCAAGATCTGTTTGTGATGTGTAGGTGTTCTGAATTTGGTCAATAGGAGATCCCTCAGAGCACAAAAGCACAGTTGTAACTTAATTGAAGGGTATAACGATATAAAGTCACATACTGTGATGTGGGCCAAATCCATTACCTGTGTTTGTCTTAATAGTCCTATAAGTTCTTTGGGGCGCTTGACGTTTAGATCATAATCCCTCATATGGTCCGATGCAATGTTATGGACCACTTTTTCAAGAAGTTTTGTTGGAGACATGGCCTTATCCGAAATGGGTCTAAGACAGGGGTAGGCAACCTGCAGCTTGCGAGCCACATGCGGCTCTTTGGATGTGAAGCTGCGGCTCTTTAGTTCCATACGCAAATATTATTTATTTTATCAAAAAAAAAACATATAAACATTTAAAAATCGTTCTGAATCGATTAACGAGGATTCGGCACTGATTCTATCTCTCAGCCACTTGTACTCGCTTTTCATCGCACCCCTCCCCNTTAATACCTTGGACAACAATATTTATTATACAAGTATTATTATTTCCTGCTTCATCGTGTGCTTCATAAATTACTGATGTTTCACCAAGAGAAAAATAACCTGGTTCATGTGATCTCCATATGGTCACTTTGCCACCAGAGTTATCAGAAAACATTGGTTCTTCCCAAGAAACATCAACAGGAATTTCTCTCGAAAGAAATGTCGGAGGACTTACACATTTATCAACAACTGGAGGTTGTGTATCTAAAATTTAAAATAAAAAATACAATCAATTTACTTTTCAAATATATTCATTTACTCACATAAAAGAATAAAGTCATAAGCATAAAATTACTTAAATTATTAATACAGTACTAATTTTGATATTAAAAAATAATTTAGTACTAGTAACAAGAGTTCATTTGTATTATGCAAACAGCAGTTACACGTGGCTTTCCTAGTAAGGTTATTAAAGGTCTCATCAAAGCAGCAGTAGAAAAGTACAAATTTGGTCCCAATAAAGAATATTGTGGGGAAGTACTCGATCTTTAGAGTATTCCCTGTGTAAAAACAAAACAAAAAGAAACTTCAAAGAAATAAATCACATACTCTATGATTCCAATGCAAGGAATTTAAAGTTTATTTTCGTCCTTCCGATCACTTCTCTGTCCTTTCACTATAACAGATACTAAAACAAAGGAAACAACATACACACAAAAAAAAATTTGTGACTCTCTTGTCTATATGTCTTCCCTCCTTTTCTTTCTTTCAAAAAGCCCCGCTTCCCCCGTTGAGCATGCACAAGCATCCCTCTCTCCCTCCTTTACTCTGGCCCACCCAAGGAGCTGGTTATGCAACAGAACACATGGTCTTCAGACCACAATATAATAAAGAAAAGAAGAAAGAAGATCAAGTTACTAATAAGAAAATGTGTGCAATTACAGGAGTAAAAATGGCCAGTTTAATTAATACTTATGCTAAAAGGAATATTTCTTTAGCTATCAGAATTCGCCCTTCTATTATGCAACTACTTCGTATGGATAAGGAAGAGATACAACAAATATATAAGGCAAGAGTATCTATGGTCAACCTTAAAAAAAATGAATAATAGCTTCTACTATACAGGATTGATGTACAGAACCCTATGGCAATGCCTAAAAAGCATTACTCCATGATGTAGAAGGGTTGGTATTTTGAAAGCGGCGACATTAAAATTATAATAATGAGCATGCGCGATTGAGAAGATTATAGAACGCGCATATTGGAATTTTCCATTTTGCAAATTTGAAATCTGATAGTTCGATCCTGAAGAAGGTCTGTGAATCTGACCGAAAACGTTAGATAAGTGTGCAAAATAGACTGCATTTTAAAGGTATAGTGGAGTTTTTTTAAATAGTAATGCAGTTAGAGATATAATTATGGAAGATATTTTGAACATCTCATTTAAGTTCTGTTCATTGTAAAAAAAATTATTTTTGAGCTTTAAAATAAAAATAGTTTATAAAAATGGTGCGTATGATTCATGAAATATAAATGTTCAAAATATATAAACATAATTATATTAACAAAATTAGTCCTGTAACTGGTTTCCTGTTTTAAAAAATTCCGATGTTTATATAAAATATGTAGGCACACATGATGTATATCTATTATAAAATGTTCGTTTTCTACTGTTTTCAATGGTAGAAAACATTTGTTTGGAAGTGAATTATTGCTGGTTTTTTTCAGTAATTACATATTTATTTTATATAATTATATTATATGTATACTAGCAGGTAGGCCCAGCATTGCTTGGGAAAAAGTAACGATAACTAAAAGTAAGATTATTACATTACAGTCAACCTTACCCGTTTTCACATAATGCAAGAATTGGGTCCCCTTGTTTTCAGACTAATTAGAGAATTTTTAGATGGGTCTAAAAATATGTTCGATTTCCCGCAAAAACGAAAAAAACTGCACCTGCGTCTTGCACATCGTCTTCTCTTAACAATTCCATTGTTATGTAACCCTTCCATTGTTGATGGAAGTGTTAAGCCCTAATCCTGTTCTCCCCCGTGGGGAGGAATTTCGAAAAATCCCTTCTTAGTGTGTGTTCTCGTAACACCCTAACTGTGTACTAAATTTCAATTTTCAACTCCTAACCATTTGGGCTAGTATCCATAATGTATATAGAAGCCTTTATCCTGTCTCTATCCCTCCGGAGGAAATTTCGAAAAATCCCTTCTTAGTGTGCATTTTCGTGACATACCCTAACCGTGTAACAAATTTCAAGTTTCAACTCCTAACAGTTTGGGCTCTGTGCTTATTATTATTATTATCATTATCAACCCGTCTCGATTATATATTAGATTGATGTTACATGTATAATTATGTAAACATTATATAAGTATTATATTAATTACTGTATATTAAATTTTAAAAATCAGTTAATTTTTACTATATTAATTATCTAATCGTTTTTCATTTTTCTTTCCTGGCTGTTATGTATACATAACAAGGAAAAGTATTGAAATCGTCACAAATTTGACCCACTGGGTGTTTTGAAAATCTTGATTTTGAGACTTCTGAACCCAAAAAAGTAAAAAAAAAAAAAAAAAAGGAAAAAATTCTACACGTGCATGTGTGTGCATTGGCATTTATTTTATTTACTTACAATAAAATTTGGCATGGTATCCTGTGCATAAGGGAGTATTGCTGCTATTAAATTTTGCTGGTTAAAGGTCAAGCAAGTGAAGAGATATAGAAGGGGTCACGTATCATATTTCCAATAGGGTTGGACTGAAGATTTTACTTGCTATTAGCATTTACAATTATTTTTATAAAACTCATTTATATCCTCAAAATTAAGCATTTTCCATTTCATAATGATTAATAATATAAAACTTATATTTTAACAAAATCTCATAACAGATGATGCCACTGACAATTTTAATTTGGTGCTGTATGTCTTAGGTGTTTTTCACTGGGAAAGTTATGCAACTTGTTGCTAGATTTTTTTACAATAAGTTATAAAACAGTTTTATAAATGATTATAAATATCCTTTTCAAATTGGAACTTAATCCAACTTAAGATATTTTTACATACCTCTTACTGTCACAGTGAAATTACATGCTTTTTTATTTTTATTTTTATCTTCTGCAATATATGTAATTGTAGAAACACCAATATGAAACCTTCTTGGTGGGATAATAGCAGGGATTACTGAAATTGTAGGAATATCTCTACTGTTGTCAACAGCCAATGGTATTTCCCACTTAACCAAAGCACTTGCTTCATTTTCCTCAGCATCCACAACAATATTTTCTGGACATTTTATTACTGGTGGTTGAACATCTGCAATAAATTAATTTTAATATATATTAATATTTTATAATAATTTTTATTTAGTTAAAATGCTGGCACACTTAAACTGAACCTATATACTAAACCAACAACTTGATACCTAAATGCAAATTGCAGCATATAATGAACAAATAAAATTTAATGTTCAAACGTTTTTGGCCATCTTTCAGAGATCCTTGTCAGGAATGATTGTATGAAATGCTACCTTAAAAGGCCAAAGACCCTTGGCCTTTTTAGGTAGTGACATTCTAGGCCCTAGTCTCAAGAGTTTACTCCCATTGCTTGGAGACTTCCGATATCTACAATGAACTGAAATGCATCAAGTATATAGCATCTGCACATTGGTACCACCAGTCCTTAATCAACAGGCTTGCTGCCAAACAGCAATCTAGGATAGCTATCACAAACACATGGGTTAATGATGCAGAGTACAATCAGGTTGTTATATCTTACGAACCGTCCCTCCAACAAATTTATAATAGAATCGCTAAGGATTTAAACTTATGCTTAACATATTCAGCTTTTAACTAATGCAAAAAACAAGTCCGGTGACAAGAAAGCGCCAGGAGTTTGTCCTGCATTCCATTGCAGGACAAACGTTTTAATAGAGGTATAACATACATCGGATCCACATACAGATCACTTGAGGCTACAATACAGGACCACAGATATGATGTGCCCAAGGGAAAGTATAATACTGCACTAGCACAGTATGCTACCAAACCTGGGGTTTCTCCTTGTTGGGATGAAGCTACTCTTTTACACAGGGCTTTTGACCAACATAACTTATGTTTGTTGGAGGCTCTTGAAATTTATATAGTGGGCATGAAGGGAGGTTGTATTAACTCCGACTATATTCCGGTTCCACAGTTGAGGAAGTATTATTTACAATACCACAAAACATAAATAATTACTTATAAAAATTATCGTTATTTATCTTTATGCAATGTAAAGGAAACAATTTCCTTATTGAACATCATTTATATGTTAAAACATTGGACTAACTTTTACAATGCCACATAATATAACAATAATAAATTTATTTATAGTTTTATTTAAAAAATAACTAATTTATATGATGTAAGCGTAATTNAGGGAGCACAAATATGACATAGACCATGCTTGTTATACCACCACCCTATCCACCTATGACACCAACCTGGATATTCACGCAGAACTATCCAACACCAGATTAATAAATAGAGCTTTTCATACGAACCACATCAGAGCCCTGGAAATATACAGAGCCAGCCGGACAGGGAGATGTATAAACACCAAAGATGGCAACATGCTTTCCTATGCTTGGTGCTATGTATGCGAAGAAAATGATGACGATATGTAACATGTGCATAAGTTCGAATATAGTTTAAAAACTAAACGTTCATTCTAAGAATGGAATCCGATTGTTTTTTTAACCTGAAGCAGACCTCAACTGAGGCCGAAAACGTTTGTTTTACAAATGGTTAAGCAGTACCAGACAATAAAGGTTAAGTCAGTATGAGAAATATTGGTAATAATTGCAAGACTCATAAAAGTAGAAGATTATGGACTTCTGTTGTTCTCCCCTTATGAATCAGTAGTTGCTTATAACATTAAATAGAATAATCTAATAATTTAAAATTATTATATAATAATTTTCTAATAAAATTATTAGAAAATAATCTAATAATTTAAAATTATTAGATTATGTTCTATTTAACAGATTAGACATAAAAACTGGCACACTTAAACTGAACCTATATACTAAACCAACAACTTGATACCTAAATGCAAATTGCAGCATATAATGAACAAATAAAATTTAATGTTCAAACGTTTTTGGCCATCTTTCAGAGATCCTTGTCAGGAATGATTGTATGAAATGCTACCTTAAAAGGCCAAAGACCCTTGGCCTTTTTAGGTAGTGACATTCTAGGCCCTAGTCTCAAGAGTTTACTCCCATTGCTTGGAGACTTCCGATATCTACAATGAACTGAAATGCATCAAGTATATAGCATCTGCACATTGGTACCACCAGTCCTTAATCAACAGGCTTGCTGCCAAACAGCAATCTAGGATAGCTATCACAAACACATGGGTTAATGATGCAGAGTACAATCAGGTTGTTATATCTTACGAACCGTCCCTCCAACAAATTTATAATAGAATCGCTAAGGATTTAAACTTATGCTTAACATATTCAGCTTTTAACTAATGCAAAAAACAAGTCCGGTGACAAGAAAGCGCCAGGAGTTTGTCCTGCATTCCATTGCAGGACAAACGTTTTAATAGAGGTATAACATACATCGGATCCACATACAGATCACTTGAGGCTACAATACAGGACCACAGATATGATGTGCCCAAGGGAAAGTATAATACTGCACTAGCACAGTATGCTACCAAACCTGGGGTTTCTCCTTGTTGGGATGAAGCTACTCTTTTACACAGGGCTTTTGACCAACATAACTTATGTTTGTTGGAGGCTCTTGAAATTTATATAGTGGGCATGAAGGGAGGTTGTATTAACTCCGACTATATTCCGGTTCCACAGTTGAGGAAGTATTATTTACAATACCACAAAACATAAATAATTACTTATAAAAATTATCGTTATTTATCTTTATGCAATGTAAAGGAAACAATTTCCTTATTGAACATCATTTATATGTTAAAACATTGGACTAACTTTTACAATGCCACATAATATAACAATAATAAATTTATTTATAGTTTTATTTAAAAAATAACTAATTTATATGATGTAAGCGTAATTATTTTTGTTTTGAACATCGTTTAAATGTTTAAAAATTGGAACACAGCTAAGTTCAAAAGTTAAAAATTTTCAAAAGATTTTTTTTTGTTTCGTACATTCATTCCTGATGAGGGCCTCTGAAAGATGGCCAAAAACGTTTGAACATTAAATTTTATTTGTTCATTATATGCTGGAATTTGCATTTAGGTGTCAAGTTGTTGATTTAACAGATTATTTTGCTCTAGAACAGTTTGCTTTCAACCTTTCTGAGGCCATGGAACACCATTTGTATACTTTTTATTACATGGAGCATTAGCATCAATACATTCAAAAATCAATAAGCAATTCCACGTTTACTATTCTCATGAAAAAATGAAACAATAAACTAATAAACTTCGTTGTATTGAATAAAATAGAAACATAAAACTGTCTGAAAATAGAGTAATATGTTGTAATACATTGGAATATATTTGCAATAAAAACTTTAAAATCTTTTTTTGTGGAACACTTGAGGCAAGTTGGCAGAATACAGTTGAGAACCACTGTGCTAGAATAAAAACAATGTAATAAAATTATAATTTTTGAAAATTTTTTGTATTTTGAAGAAAAATTACTAATATTTTCATATTTATTTGCTATTATTAGAATTTATATAATTAATTTTATTTTTAGATACACGATAGTAAAAAACTAAACATTTTCAAATTAGAAATTTTATTGAAAGTAATTACAATATTACAGTTCATATTGTAAAAACTAAATATGCCTCTTTTAAATTTAAAAATATTTAGAATTTCTAAAGGTAAGACATTCTGAAGTGACTTTAATTTTAAATCTATTTTAAATTACTCTAAAATGATTACCAGTATATGAATATTTATTTATAAATTTTTTGTTAATATTTACATAGATGGTTAAATTAAATTTTATAATTTTCATATTTACATTGTATATTTAAAGTTTCTGGTAAGCGTTTTAGAAAATTTTATATTTTATACTGTAAAAGTTATTTTGAACATACCAGAACAATCAGGAATAGGAATATCTTCCTCAGGTTTCCAAACACCATTATATTCACAAAAATAACTTTCAGGAGGATGAATAGCAAAAGCATAGCCTTCTTTACATGATAAAGAACAATAAACTGCTTTTTCTGTTTCTGTGCAGTTGGTATGTCCGTTGATAGGATTTGACGGAAAATTACAAGCATGTTCTAAATTTCAAAAGAATATATAAAAGAATCAATTAAAAATTATATTGGTAACATAAATTTCAATGAAATTATAATTATATAAAATGAATGTAATCTATATATATAAAAATGAATGTATGTCTGTCTGTTCATCTGTCCTTCATGCATTACCACACCGTTTATCTGATTGCCTTGAAACTTTGGGAAGTTGTTTAATATACTCCCGCGAAGGTTTCTGGCATAGTACATTTATCCTACGATAGATGGCACGCGTTTATACTGTGTGTTCGAACGATTTCAAATTGTGAAGACCATTTTCCCCCTTCAAAAAATATCTCTATATATGCATTTGTGAACTGTTATTTACGATATTTGTAATAATTTTTGTTTAATCACTTTATTTCAACTTTTTTTTGCTAATTATGTATTCGCTCGAACTTTGTTAAAACCTTAACTGTACCCCGAACAACAACCGAAGTTGTAGGAGGAAATTCGCCTATTTTACCGATCTAGGTATTCCCCCTTTCCAAATTTTAATATCGACTCAAAATAATTTAAAAAGA